ATCAGTTGTTTGCTTGCTTTCATTTATTTCATTTGTGACATGTTTCTTTGTCTCCACATTTTAGTTGCTTCCTTGTTTTCATTTCTATGTATTAAGTCGATCTTTTCTCTATCCTGGAATTGGTAAATTGACCTCATGTAGTAGGTGTCCTGTAGGGTCCAGTGGCTCAGCTTCCCCAGTCACCTGAGCTGGGCCCTCTAGGTACACCTCTGTGTGGTCTGTGTGCACAGTCTTGTTGTAGATGAGCCTTTATTGCTGTTAGCTTCATTGGAAAGAATTGGCCTCCAGGCCAATTGGCTGTGAGAGTCAGCTGTGACTATGGTGGGAGAACTTCTGTACTGAGGACACCCTTATGAGGCAAGACTTGCTCCACTGGGGCTTTGGTGCTCACTGAGTCTGCCCCCTGAGTGTGTCCCTTATGGATTTGAGGAGTTGTAATTGGATGGTCCCACTCTGACCACTGGATACAGTGGCTCTTTGATCTAAGGAGCTGCTAATCTAGCCTCTGCCTGAGGCTACCCAGCAGAAGTCAGTTGTAAATCAATGCAAATTGCCCTGGGGCCTTGGGCCAGCTGCGGTTTGTTAAGTAATTTTCAGATTACAAAAGGCCGGGCCTTTCATATGCAAAAGCCTCCATAGATGGCTTGGGTGGGGCGGGGTCTCGGGATCAACAGGGCGGGTGGAGAGAGCAGTATGGCTGCTCTCGGTCCTGCCCTCAGAGGCCCCGGCAATCGCTGCGAGGGCCTCTGAGAGAAAGCTGCCCTCGAGTTCTGACTGATGCCAGACAGTCCATTTTCTCCTTGTATGAGTCTGGGTCCCCAGAGACTCGCCCGGAACTGGAGCTCAGAGCTTGAGACTTCCTCCCAACTGAAAAAGACAACCATGTTCTCAGCCGCCAGCCCTCTCCCCATGCGCCTCTGTACCTCTGTATTTTACTTCCGCACCGCGCCTCCTCTGAGTCTCGGTATGCTTTTCTCTTTCCTTCTTGTAGAATTTCCACTCAGCCAGCCTTCCTGTGGTTCTGGATGATGTCCATTCTGTCGTTTAGTTGTATTTTTGAAGTGGTTGTGCGAGACAGCAATCTCCGGTGTTTACCTATCCCGCCATCTTTGTTTCTCCCCTTTGAGAAGTTTAAGTTTATTAAAGTAAAGCCAGATAATTGGCTGTTCAGTTTTGAATTCTCTTGAGGGAAATGTGTCATGCACCAAGAAAAAAATCAGTCAATAACTTCAATCATAAGAAAGCATAGGAACAGATATAGAAATAATGTAGAATGAATTATACCAATGTATTGTTATAGAATTAGGTTAAGAGTACTAATAAGTTTTATGGCCATTGTATTCATGTGTGTTTTGTCTAATAGTATGTTTGAAATTGCAAACATGTTACATTTGCAGTTTAAATTATTTAAGGGAATTTAAGTTTGTAATTAATGTTGAAATATTAAAGAACCAGTAGTTTTCAGATTAAACAAAAGTTTAATAAATTGACCATTAAACAAATGTAAATACAAATAGTAATGGATGTTTCTCTTCAAGTATAAAAACCTTTGTGGTTTTTCAGATGTCTAATTAATAGCAAATAGCCTAATATAATTCAGATTATGCCAAACATGCCTTCCAAATGTGGTGAAAACCTATTTAGCATCTTTTACAAGATGCAATTTATAGATAAACTGGAACAATCATGAAGCTACAGAGGTACCATAGTAGAGATTGAAGTCCTTTTTTTATGTAAGTACTAGACTCCCAGTGCACAAATTCATGCACCAGTGAGGTTCTCCAGCCTGGCCGGTGGGATCAGGCCGAAACCGGCTCTCTGAAATCCCCCAAGGGGTCCCGATTGCAAGAGAGTGCAGGCTAGGGCGAGGGACCCCACTGGTGCTCAATTGGGTCCAGGGAGGGATTTGGGAGGTTGGCCAACTGGGGAGGGACCACAGGAGGGCTTGATTGGCCGGACCCCAGAAGCAAGCTAACCTACAGGTTAGAGTGTCTGCCCCCTGGTGGTCAGTGCACGTCATAGTGAGTGGTTGAGCGGCCTTAGCATATCATTAGCATATTACTCTTTGATTGGTTGAATGGACAACTGGATGACCAAACACTTAGCATATTAGACTTTTATTATGTAGGATGTCTTGAACAATTTGAGAGAGAGGTGACATGGATGATAGCATGCCTTGGGTATTCCTTTCTCTCCTTTGGATTTTGATCATGATAATGAGGGTCAGCAATAGTTAGGCAAAAGATCTATTCTCATTTTTCTCATACTCGGTCCTAGAAAAACAGGGTTTCACTATGCCCTGCATTTCCCACACTTCCAACCTCCTACCCATTTGGCCTTCTGAGAGCCGTTATACCTTATGATGCTATTGGTATCTGCACTTTTGCCACACGAATAGCATCATAAGGCACTCATTGAACTTCTGAGTCGCAAGTATTTTACTGAATGTTCCTTTAAAAGTGCCATTGGACTTTTAACTTCAGAATTATAACTTCATGGTGTTTCTTGATGCCATGAAGCTTCTGTGACTTGAGACTCAGAAATAATTCCCTTCCCTTCTGACACTTCATTGAGTTTCCTCTTGCCTTTACTCTTCAGAGTGTTCAGCACAGGAAGCTCCTTTTGTTATCATCCTAGACTGTGGGTTAATTTACATATAAAGAAACGATTACATTGTTAGATAGTATAATTGACTCTGTTCTCATACAATTCTCTCTTCTCCCTCCCGATTCAGAGTAATTCTAACCAAAATAAGTAAATGATCTTTAGTAAATATGATAATATTGGCCTTAACATAGTTGGTTTATAAGTTAAAATTCAGTTCCTCTGAGCCTGTTCTTTTCATTTGGCACTTTAGAATTTATTTCCTATACAGTACATTTTATCTTTTCAAGTGATAAGTAGAAAATCTTTTAATAATTTATTAAAGGAGAGACAGGAACTCAAGAAAAATACTTTTTTTATTTGTGAAAACTGTTTTAAGTAAATTTTGTTGCTGGAAAGTGAGAATTCCTTCTAAATGTGCTTTTAAATATAGTAATCAAATTATAATAATACACTTCATTACATTAATTTATCAAGTTTTAAGAATAGTAACTATTGGCATAAAAGAATGATCGTTTTTATATTGAGGTGGTTAGTTAGAAACAACATAAAAGATGACTGAGATTCTTTCTTTACTATTCAGAGAAGGAGGGAGAGGATGAACTCTTTTTCTCTTTTTGAACTCTAACCCCAAAGGATTTGAGAATTTATTAAAAACAAAAACCTCCTTGCAAAGATGATTGAAGATGTATCTATTGTTTTTAAAGTGTTCCTTTATTGGTATTACATTTTAAACAACCAGAGTTATAAAATTTTAAACAAAGATATTGATAGTGTTATATATCATTATTGCTTGGCACAAAGGACTCTAATGCAAGGATAAGAAATGATTTATTCTTACGACTTTTTGCTCATCATTCTTCGAGGAACTGGAATACCATGATCTTCCTAGCTGATTTTCATAGCTTTTCCTCTTCAAATGGCAAAGGTGAAGCAAATAATAATAATTACAGGTTTTGCAGGCGGTAAAGCTCAGTGAGCATATAAGCTCAGTATGTTTATTTCCCCCCTGAAAAACCTGTCTTGCTTGTGAGGATGTATTCTGAGGTTTGGTGGATAATTACTTGCTTACACTCTAGGTCTGGATATTGCCTAATCAAAAGAAACCAAAGTAATGACTCAAACATATGCCAGTGAGCCCTGAATTCCTGCGTAAGTGTGTCAGAGTGGCAGGGCCTTGCTGGTGCAGGTTGGAGGCAAGAGGAATGGAGGAGGGGAAATATCTCTTTTCTTGATCCTCCTTAACTTGGTGTGAATTGCTGTCATCCAGCTCATCTCAGAGGCAGCAGGCCAGGTGAGGAGTTGATGGTGAAGGCACATTTAGGACAACCTCCTGACTCTACATGGGCATTCCTTTTCATGCTTAACTTGACAGCATGAATTTCTTTAAATTATAATACCTATACTGGATAAGAACACTCAGAAAGTAGATGTGATTTTTTCCCTGGTAGTTATAAACAGTTAGAATAGCTCAGCCAAAATAGAAAGGTTGGCTTTTAGCTAAAATAATTCCAAATAATTATAATTTTACTTGACTTCATGTAAAATATTTTTAAAGAAATGGCAAAATTTTCTTTTATAAACTTTATTGGCAACATAATCATACTTTTATGTCAAATTGGTATAACATTTAGAAAATATTTGAAATGTTACATATATTTCTGAGGGAGTCATTTCAAGTTATATGATTAAGAAATGCCAGGTGAGGGTATGTATGGTTTTAGTACTTTAATAAAACTGGAATGTAAACATATATTTTTCTCTTCTAGGGCCTAAGGCTGAAAATCCTGAAGTTTTGCCACACCCAGCAAAGGTTGGTCTACATAACTGAGATGAAGCATGCAGATCAGAGGTTTAGATTTTTTAAAAAAAATTATGATGATTAAAGCCTCAAGCCCATTTAGACTCTTCCTTGGTCAATATTACTATACCTGT